CTCCATCGAAGATTTCTCCATCGACGATTCCTCCATCGACGATTCCTTCATCGACGATTCCTCCATCGAAGATTTCTCCATCGACGATTTCTTTATCGACGATTTCTTCATCGACGATTTCTCCATCGTCTAAGTACCATACTAATATCATTGAAATTGATAACATCGCGAATAACAATTCGGACCAATTTATATTTAAGAAAAAAGGAATGACAGTAAAAGAAAAAACTCTGTCTTCAACTGATCCTGAATTGGCTAAATTTTTCAGTCGAATTGGTGAATCATTTTTGGAGATGGGACAATATTCACAAGCACTTGAATATTACGAAGCAGATCTTAAGTTCAAAGAAAAAAGTCTGCCTTCAAATCATCTCGATTTAGCTAAATGTTACACCAATATGGGTTTAGTATATCGTGAAATGGGTGACTTTTCAAAAGCTCTTTCATTTTTCGAAACGGCACTTGCTATTCGACAAAAATCACTTCCACCAACGCATCCTGATATTCAAAAATCGATAGAAAATATTGATTTTGTAAAAAATAAACTATGATTTTTCTTCTTTCTTATTTTGCTCAATAAAGTTGTTCGCATTACTCTTTACTGTCTCGGCTTTTTTTTACTCTATATTGTGGACAAACAGAAAGATCTTCGATTAATCAGAAGGGTATACACAATAGAGCTGAGTGAGTCAATTTATTGTTATTGAATTTTTCATTACACGATATCTGAAAACATCAATTTGAATAACCAAAACCTAAAGTTAAAGTTATTTACAAGCAATAAAGTTTTATTAACATTTGAAATAATGTTGTATTGCACATCAAAGATGTTAAAATGCAAATATTACTATGAGAAACATTGAAATGATTCAATTTCATTATAAAACGAATCTGAGAGAACATACATCGAAAATGTGGTACTCGTGTAGCAAGATGAACCATGAACTTTTTTTTCTTATAAAGTTTATTAAAAAATTCATATGAATTTCGTTTTTTTGAAAGAATAAGATTATGGATTAAACTTTCTTACTGCAAAGAACCACTAATATCTTCTGAAACTGATTCTAGTGTTAAATTGTCAACTTGTGTTTCTTTGTATGAATTACTCGAGTCAAAATGTTGAATCAACAGTATCCAACTTTCGAGTCCAAATCAAGTCAAAGTCTTTTAAAAAATGTAATTCGAACTCGCTCATTCCTAGCCAAAGCAGAATTTAATTGACTTTGAACATCAGTAAATAGTATCTCAGTCAGAGATGTCCATGGCGGTGCCAACGCGACCGCCACCGCCTCCGCACCGCTACCGGCATGATGGTGGCAGCGCGGAGAGATTTTTTAAATACCGTTGCGACAGCGGTGCGGTAGCGGTCGATTTCTTAGGAAGAAATTTTTAAAACTCACGAATTTTCAAGGAATCTCGGTATTCATATCCGCTACATGGCAAGATTCAATAAATTTGACCGACTACTAGAAGCTATTTCTGTTCGGACAAATCATAAGGTCCAAAGTCATCAAAATTTCTTGAACATCGCCGTGGAAGCGGTGCGGTGGCGGTAGGTTGTTGTCAGAGTTCATCACGGTGCGGTAGGTTTTTTGGAAAACCGTCGCGGCGAAATTTCGACCCTGATGGACATCTCTGATCTCAGTACATGAATTTTCTTTTCATCATTGTATAATGATGACATATCTTATGATTTTATGCATACACATCAAGACTATCTATTCATACTGTTGTAAATCCTACGGTTGTGTTGAGCTGACCATGACTTTTATTTTGGTTTTATCGATAGTTATTTTCTTAGCTGTTCAAAAAGATTTTTTTTTATTTTAATTTTTTCCATTCAACAATCATAGATCTCATGAATAAAGTAATTCGTACTTTCGTTTGCTTCATCATCCAATATCTTGTATAATAGCAAAACCAATAGAACCGTAGAACATATTCAAACAATCAAAGATACAAGAGATTATCACAAAATGAATGATGTATACTCTCTCTTCAGTAAGTATTGTATGAAATTATTCTAAGCTAAAGGTTAAGAAAAAACATTTCATTTTTAGTGAATATTAACTAGAGACAACAGGATACTGTATTTCTAACTCATCTCTAATAGATATGAAATTACATGTCATATTCTCATCTCTTGCATGTTCGATTTCATCTCTCTTGTTTTTCGAAATAAATACAAATTTGTTACACAATTAACTTACTTCAAGAGTATTATCAAAAAAAAAAAAATTCAAGCCGAAAAACAAAACCAAGTTGAAACTTCTCTATTAATGATAATAAGCTTTTTAAAAAAGATATTTATTTGTATAATAAAACCTAATTTAACTGAAATATTTAGTTTATATTGAAAAGTGCTTTTTACTAAGTTATCCAATATTTCGTACTATTTATGACAGTTGTTTCTCATCTAGTAAAAAAATTCAAATGCTTGATAAGAAAACTAATCATCATAACGTCGTTGTTTGTTCTAAGAAAAAACTGATCCAAGAAATTGTGTACATTTCATAGACAAGATGGGTGTGGATGCGAGAATTCGGATTTCTTACTTCTACACATCCCTAGTCTATTGGAAAACAATTAGGAAAACTTTTGTTGATTGTAAAAAAAATCTTATCAAACTAAGATTTATGAAAAAAACTTCAATGAAACTTGTTTGATGGGCTGAATCGAATGTTTTGACATCAAATAATCATACACGATGTAAAACTATCTCTGACATTTGTTGCAGTTTTGATCTAAGGCTTGGTAGAATAGAATATTTATGCATTCAACTATGTAGACAAAATCAAGATACCTCTACTGAAAAAAAAAACAACTTCTTTGTTAGACTCACATTTATCTCTTTACTTCGTGGCCCAAACGGACTCGAAATCTGTTTGTTGAAAATAGGACCATTGCAATTATTCACTTGATCCTTTCTTTTTCAGATAGAGCTGTACATTTTCCATTGATCAACATTCCAATCATATTTCGTTCATTGGTCATCATAAATATCAATCAAAAGTTGATCATATTATCTTCTTCGGCAATAATTCATTTTCAATGTTGAGGAAATAATCGGAGAAAAAGATTTCTTTAGCTTCTCAAGAAGTCATAACATATTGAAAACAAAACTATGTAGATTTCCAAGAAATATATATGAGATCTATTTTATTCAGTACTTCTTCGTGATTCTTACAAAATAGAAAATTTTCAGAAAAAATCTGGACTGAAAAAGTAGCTTTGTCCAAGTACATCCTTTGAGAACACATATCAAACACTGAATGACAATAACAAAAAAATATTTTGGACATTTTTGCAAAAGTGCTTAGAGCAAAACCATAGGGATTCATCGCGCAATTAAAGCTTTTAATTGAAGATGCGACAGTATCATCAGGTAACATTACATTTGACTTGTTGAATATAAGATCCATACCAACAAAGCAATTTAAATTTTTTGTTTTTTTTAAACGAATCTTTCAAAAACATCACATACCGGCTGGTCTTTAAATGCTGATCTCTATAATTTGCATCGAAAAATAGATCACTGGTTATGAGCAGCTTGAGGATGTGTGTGGGTATGAGTATGGATATTGATACGAGTGAACAAATGGTTCATCTCGCTCACAGTCACGCTAATACTCTAGGCACACTCTATACCTGATTCGTTTCTAAAAATAATAAAGAATCAAGGATTTTCAAATCGAATGAAAAACTGCGGCTTGAGCAACTACATGAAATCATAGTTGCCATTCGTATGTAATCTGACTGACCAATATATATCTCGGTGTCATGTTAAAAGACCAACAAATCATTCTTCTAGAACTGTATTTCTCTTTTTATGTTTTTCATAGTCATGTTGTGAAATCAAATAAAAAAAAGATGTTTTTTCTTTCTATTTAGTTTCATACGCATCGACTATCATTCATCATAAATTGTGTTGGCTTGAATTGACGCCGAGATAAAATCCACGTACTGAAAAAATCGAACCATTATTGACGATTGGATTAACCAGATACGTAGATTTTATTTAGGAATTTGTTGAAGACATCACAATATGTAGGAAATGATAGCCTATATTGTGCCGTCACGGTATTCATGAACTCAAAAATGGCTTAAACGATTCTGATATCAGAATTTCACAAAGCTCTATAATTGTTTTTTTAAAGGGTTTTCTGCATCTTCGACAACAGTTGTTCAGAAATCTTTTACGGGTTTCTTAAGGTGCTTTTCTTTTAAAGTACTTGTGAATTTGTTTTCAAATAGCTCTTTGTATGTTGTTACTGAAATTTTCATTGTTGAATTTGCAAGCTGATTCATATTACTCACATTACTTTTAATAGTGTTGATAGAAGGAATAAAAGAAAGCAAATACGACGAAATAATGACTTTTTTTTATAGACACAAACGTGAGTAAAAAGGCATATGATGTGTGCACAAAAACAGTGACTCGACATTTTCACAAATTTTTTATACAAGATTATTTTATTTTCATTACTACACGTGCAGAAGTAAGATGATGGCTCTCTATAATAATTTCATATTCTACAAGATATTGATATTCACATTCTATCAATAGAGATGGCATCAGAATCGGAATCAAATCAATGTTCGATGTGTCAGAAGAATACAGGAAAATGCATATGTGATGGATGTAAAAACTATTTTTGCATCAAACATTTTAATCAACATCGTCAACAACTTTCAATAAAATTTGATGATGAGATTGTGACAACTCATGATGAACTTTTGGAACAAATTAATAGAAAAAATCAATCGAATGATTGTGCTTCGAAACTTTTCGATGAAATTAATCGATGGGAAACTGTTACAATTGAAAAAATTCATAAATCAGCTGAACAAGCTCGTGACCAACTTACTCAAATACTGACTCAAGAGAAAGATAAATTGATACAAGAACTTGGAATAATGAAAAAAGAAATTTGTGATCGACGAGATGAAGATGATTTTGATGAAAATGATATTGAACGACTTCGACAAAAATTGAATCAGATACAAATATCATTAGAACAATTTATTCGATCAACAACAACGAAAGTGATCATAGTAACAAACAATCAAATTGATTGGAATCGATTCATCTACATCGAAAAACAAGGTAAGAAAATCGGTGAGTGAATTGCAAACAACATTTGAGCTAGTTGAATTAGCAAGGAAATTTAAAGAAATTTTATCTAGTTTTAGAGTTTAACTTTCAAAACATGAATAGATGTTCACGAGATTCAAATATTCTTAGAATAAATTTTTTTTACCAAGGTCTTGTACTATAAAAATCTGTTGAACTTTTTTCAAGTTTATTTGATTGAGTTCTCTACCATATATCGAATAACACTGAATATCCAATATTCGACATAAAAAATGAAGTAGGTTACATATTGAACCAAATTCATATTCAGCATTGAATACTAATAACTCCTATTGCCATCACTGATGATACTCTGCCAGTTGAATTGCGCTGTTTTCTTTGATTAAATATCGAATATCAAAATTTAATAGACATTATACTTCTTTTTTGGAGAATTATGTAAAAGAATAATGAAGA